GGCACCCTTTGTTGTTGGGAGGCATGTACAGCAGGTCTTTTTAGACTTGCAGTCATTGGTTGTGAAGCATAGCATCCACCTTTCTGTTCTGTAAATGTGCGCACGCATCTGTGAGAAGAGTTTAATATTTTAGTGTCAAGGATATCCGTGTATACGTGTGCATTAGAAATCCGTTTGAGGAAATCCCAACTTCTAGGCATTAAGCCAGCTTCCAGCAAGTGGAAATTTCATTTACGTGGATGTGTAACACATGTGGACACCAAGCTGTCTCTGAAATTATCCACTAGTTGGGATATTTACCAAGTTTGTGGGGTTCAGTAATTCCTTATATTAAGCTTTTAAGGAACTGAAATTTCTGTTTATCAGGTGATATCCAGAGCCCACTCCTGAGGATACATTAGCATCTAAAGCACTGGAAATCTCTGCTATATTTGGACAGAAAAGATGCATAACATTCAAGCCACTCTCCTGCTACAGCTAAAATACAAGCAGTTGCAGTCACAACTCGTTGTTCGCCCCTGTGCTCTCACCACTGGGGCTTGTTTCTGTGGCAGTGCTGGGGATTCAGTCTTTGGGAGCCTGGCTAGATTGCTAGCTGTCTGTGAGTAGCTGTGGTCAGGATAGTTTCTTTCCATCTGCATGTAGCAGTAAGAGAGTGAACTTCTATAGGTACCAGAACTTATCTGTATCTCTTGCCCAAAGCTTGTGCTCCATGTGGATATACACCTAAAGCAGTGGTCTTCAACGTTTTCAAACTCAAGGCATCTGGGCTAAGTACAGAGAACACATTACTCAGTCACTTTGAGGTCTTATTGGTTTTGGCTTATTTTCCAGGTAGAATTTGAGGTGTTTTGACTTATAAAGTACTATCTAGCTTGATCCATGATTATCTTTAAGATACTTCTCTTGCTCTGGGTGGCATTGATTCGTGGAGGTAAACAAGCTGCCGGCTCCCTGTTACAAAAGAGAAATCACTGCGGGTAAGGCTATTCCACGACAGTTAGTCTCTACTGGACCTTGTTTCCCCATCAGTGTGATCAGGCTTTTCCAGGACTTCCTGATGGGAAATATGGAGTAATTCCTTGTGGGACCATAATAATTAAGACAGGTTTTATTTGAAATATGCACATTGTGTGCAGCTAGTTATAGGCTATTGTGTTATATTTTGTGTGTGGGCTGGGTGCATATCTTACTTAAATAAGGATATTTAAATTTATGCTTTGAAACCCTATATAGCTTCAGGGGTTGGAGAGGTGCTATCCTAAGTCTAAAAGCTTGACAAAAATCTGAGGGTTTATTTGTGGAAGTCTGAAGCTAGAACAAGCCTTCCAAGTTAATCATGATGGCAAGGACCAGTTTCCTCGTGTTACAAGACACACTGTACATTATTAGCATTGAAGACATTTTAAAGCTGTAATTGTTTGTGTTTCATTTCCTTTTTATATTTTTTCTCAGTGATCAGTGAATATAGTCTATTTAGTTTCCAGTAGAGTTGCAATGGAGCTGTGATGGTCTAGGACATATGCAAGAAGCAAGGACAGATTTTCTGGTCAATGGTTGGGAGGTGTTAGACAAGCTTTGGGGCACAAAATACCTTCACATTGTGCCCCAAAACATGTCTAATATCTTTCCCAACTAGGCAGTGAGTCCAATGAAAGATAAAGCCAAAAAAACCTTGCTGCTCTGTTTCTGTCAGATTTTCCTACTGGCTCATATGATGCTGCAGTATCTGAACTGGACATATAGCACAGAGCAATGAACGCTTGAAAAGAAATAAAGCTATTTCTGCTGGCACCCCATAACATTTCTGTTGGTTTTGCAGCTGACAGGGTTGAAGTAGCAAAACGTTACGTTGTCACTAGGTCAGCAGAAATTTTTCTGAACTTCTTTAGAGAAAGGGACTGAGTAAGTATGTTGGAAACACCTCTTGCTTACAGTTCTGTCATTTTACGGGAATTAGCTGCTGTAAGCCGATGGGTGTAAATCATTTGATTTATCTTCACCATTACTGTTCCATTCTCCTCTTTGTCACTGCATCTTCCTTCCTCTCGGCTGTTCTCTTCTGCTATCTGATGTAAGTAGACTAAAGCTGCTGATGCATCCAAATTCCACTCCGGGTGCACACAAATAATTATGTGCAAATTTAGAGGTTATTTCTGAACCCACTTTAGTGGGGGCTGCGCTAGTGCCAGCCATGGGGCCCCCGGGTTGCAGGGCTTCATTTAGTGCAGGACTGTCCAGCTTCTAAGCAGCTGAGGGCTGCATGACCTGGGGGCTGCACTAGTGCCAGCCGTGGGCCCCCAGGTTGCAACCGCCTCCCCCACTCCCAGCACCTCTGCACACTGTGTGCAGGCAGCCTCCGCCCCCACATCACTGTACTGCGTGCTCGGATGGTATCCCCCACCCTGCACCACGTGTCCCCACCTCGGCTCCTTTACTGCACCATGTCGTGGGCTCCACCAGTGCGGTGAGCTGCGCCACTTTTTGTGGGCTGCAGGTGGCCTGCGGGCCATCAGTTGGACAGCCCTGATTTAGTCCATGAAGCAAATTCTTAACATTTAAGCCATCTTTTAAGGTTACTGATGAGCAGCAAATAGAAAAAAATATCGGCCAGGGTAGTGCTTCCTGCCACTCTCACCAAGTTTTGTAATGTCTGGGACCTGTCTAAAGAAGCATCCAGATTTTGATTCAGCAGCTCCTCACACGGCACTGTTTCATGGGGATTCACCTGTGCTTTGAGACACAACTGAATAGGTTGTAGAACGGGGGCCCTGTTCATTGTTTCTTCTTTGTAAAGTTTAGAGTATGAATTTTTATAAACGAATACAGACGAAGCATCTTTTGCCATTTCTTCCCTTCCCCCAATGAATCATGTTTTTCACCATTCTTATTTCTTGAGTGGCCTGAAGAAGGAAAACCCATGTCATGAGTGTCATTATAATTCACACAATGTATTGATTACTGATTTGTACAAATTGACATGCAATCAATTAAATGTAAGGAATGCAATATAAGTATTTAGTCACATAAAAGCATGGAACAGTCATTCTTGACAATTATCTGTATTTTAATAGGTTTGAAACAAAAACAGCCTTTTCTCCATGTTTCTCTCCAGTCCTTGTTCATGCAAATTACAATGGACCAGATGTCACCTTCTCAGCTATAATAAATTGTCTTGGGCTGTAGCTTAAATACGGATGTTGAACACTTGTTTTTAGTAGTTATTAAAGAAAAAAACCCCAAAGAAAAGGGAAAGTAATTTTTGACCAGAAGCATATAATTAACATGCAAAGAATGTTTGAATGAATGTAGCTGATAGCAGAATTGAAATGAACCCCTTCCCCCCCGGAAATGGTGATTCATTGCACACTTATAATTTCTTTTATTTATTCTTATTATTGCCTTTGAGACTTAGGCATCCTCAAATCTATTAAGCCTTCAATCTTTCCTGATGTTAGAAATACCCTTTTGTACTAATATATATGAAGAGTGATGATTTTAATTTCTTACTGAGATAACAGACTGACAGAAAAGGGCAGAATATTACAAACATTGCTCATGTAATCACTTATATAAGATGTATCCTTTTCATTGTAAAGACACATGGTAGCTCCATATTGCTTCTTGTTCAGTTGCATGTACAAAATAGGAGGTATTTTTAAATGCTGAAATATACTCTTGAAATACTGTTTTGTTTTGTCACTTGCCTTGTTTTAGATTTTGAAGTAAAATATTTTGTGGATTATTCTGTATGTCTATTGCCAGTCTTTTGATGAAAGAAAATACTGAATGCATTAAACAACTACAGAAACCATCCTGTAGATGTTTATCTTATCTTTCCTGGTGAATTTAGTATTATTTAAAGGCGTGTGTGCATGACAGTTTTTAAAGCAGGCTAAATGCTTTTGCACCGCTTTAATGGTGTCAGTGTTTGCATACCTCAGCGGCATATTGCGCATTTAATTCCAGCCACTGTAGGAAATTCACAGTGTAATGTGCCTTAAATAACTCCGTGACTCTGCAAGAAGCCCTGCAGGCAGCCTGGCAGCAGCCTGGGCAGGCAGGCTCCACCCAAGAAAAGCGGCGAGCCTGATCTCTACCCCCCCCCGAGCCTGCCTGCCTGCCTGAACGGCGTGGGGGTCCAGTGCTTTCCTCCGCAGCTGCGGTGCCCCCGGGACCACCCAAGACAGGTGACTGCAGGTGGGTGGGTGCCGCCGGCGGGGGAATGCGCTGCTGTCGCAGAGAGAAGCACCAGCCCCTCTGCAGCTCAGGGACTGCTTCACCCGCTGGCAGCTCACCCTCCCCTCTTCACCAGAAAGGCAGGGGGTGTTTTTTAAAACCCACCACTTCAGTTTAGGGCCCCCATTTTGTCTACACATGCTCTTAAGAGAGAGGACAGGGAGTTGTGGCTATGAGCAGTGTTGCTTACAAAGGAATATTGTAGCAAGCATGAAAATGCAACAGAGCTGGAGTTTTTCTTCCCTTACATTTTTGTTGTAAACACCATTCTTGATGTATAGCTGGAATCAGGTATCCTTGTCAGAGGGGTGTGGTGGGTCAGTAGTAAAAGGGCATAGGAATGGGAGCCAAGAGATAAAGCATTTTCTCTCATTTCCTTTTAAACTATGTGAGAAACTCATTCTGAATTCAGGAGGAGTTCCATACTGAGCCCCTCACTTCTTGTCCTTGCTCTGCCACTGATGTGGTTATTTACTTGAATTATTCCATCTCTCTCTGCCTGTTTCCTCCACCGATAAAATGGGGATAGTCGAATAAACTCAGCTTTTTTTAAATGCTCTGAGATCTGGGTATAAAAAGCACTGCAGAAGGGCCAAGCATTATTATTTTTCAAGTGACCTTTGGGGCCTGATGCTTTGCCAAAGGGAGGGGAAAGGAAGCCACCGTTGTTGAGTCGAGTTCGAAGCAGATGGTATTTGCATACAGGATGTGCTTCTAGAGGGTCGATTTGCTACAACGTTCTTTGTTTTTAATAATTTCAGACGGGCTAAACTGCGGCTATATTTGGAACAGCTAAAGCAGCTTGTGCCTCTTGGGCCAGACAGCACCAGACACACCACTTTAAGTCTGTTGAAAAGAGCTAAGATGCATATCAAGGTAAAATCATCCACCCACATTTTGTTTTCTTCAAATTTAAGATTTTGTATCTGCTGAAAAGGTACCATCTTTGATTTGTGCCCACAAAAGTATTTCCTTGAGTTACTGCATCCAAGTATTGTTTTATTTCAAGTGAGAGGTTAAAATGGACTCTGCTGTTCCAAGCCTATGAAATGGTGATTTCTTTTCAGTCTCTAATGGGTTATATTTTGTCTTACAACAGTTATACCTAATTCAGTAATGGCCAGTCTGATTTTTTTGAAGGGCTGGGGCAGACTGATTTGCAACTGCATTACTTTTAGTTAAAACAAGCTACTCAACTGAAAGTTGAAATAACTAATGGAGTGGAAAGGATTATGGCTATTAGTAACACTATGTGCCCTGTACCTTGATGACTAGATCTTCCAGTGTTTGAAATTCATTTAAAAGAATGAAAAAGAAATTAAGGCTCTGCTTTCTGAGCGTTTTATCTGGTTTTCCATTGAATATGAAAAAAATCTTTAAAAAAATATTTTCTGGCTTTCCATCTAGTTCTATAGCCACTCTCTTGGTCCTTGTTTTTGGAAGAGCAGGGTTTACAATATATCTTCTAGGCAATATAATACTACTACTAATAATAATAAATCTGCAAAAATCCAAATGGAGCCTGCTCTTGTGCAGCATTCATTCAATGCAGCCAGTGGGAGGGGAAAATAGAATTGTTGTCAGACATTAGACATATACATAAGCCAAACCATTCCTATTAGTAACAAATGCACCAAGCTATCTTCTCAACTGCTATAAATTGGTGTAAGTCCTTTTCCCTCAACACAGCTGTGCCTATTTACACCAGCTGGCCTCTCCAGGTTTATAATTCAGATTAAAGTGAATGACCTGAACATGCTTTGTGTTTTGGCCTGCCAGTGATATTCCCTACTTAAGCCTGTGTACCATGGACTGCAGAACTAGGCTTTGTTTTTCAAAGGCCCTCTCTACACGTTACATGTATTACACAATTAACTGGTTAATTGTGCAATTAATTTAGACCAGCTCCATGTGCTGCTGCAGTTGGGAGTCCTGCAGCTGACCAGGGGAGGGATGGGGTGGCAGGCATGTGACCTGGCTACTTGCCAGTGCAGGGGAAGCCCCAGTTCCCCTGCACTGGCAATAATGCATGATTGGATCTCATGTTGGATCCCACAGTCATGCTTCCTGCCATGAATGTGTGGCATGGCAAGAGGCATGATTACGTGGATTGTGCATCAGGTGCTATCATACCTTTACCTGGATGTCTAAAGGGGCCCAAAGTGACACATTTGTGAGATTCATAGATGTTAGGGTCAGAAGGGACCTCAATAGATCATCGAGTCCGACCCCCTGCATAGGCAGGAAGGAGTGCTGGGTCTAGATGACCCCAGCTAGATGCCTATCTAACCTCCTCTTGAAGACCCCCAGGGTAGGGGAGAGTGCCACCTCCCTTGGGAGCCCGTTCCAGACCTTGGTCACTCGAACTGTGAAGAAGTTCTTCCTAATGTCTAGTCTAAATCTGCTGTCTGCTAGCTTGTGGCCATTATTTCTTGTAACCCCCAGGGGCGCCTTGGTGAATAAAACCTCACCAATTCCCTTCTGTGCCCCCGTGATGAACTTATAGGCAGCCACAAGGTCACCTCTCAACCTTCTCTT